TTCTCGATGAAGGTCTTTGGAAGCAGATAGCCATTGCAGGGACTGAAATAAGAAAGAAGTCTTGTTGAAATTAATTAATATTAAACTTTATCTTTTTCTACGTTAAACAGAGCATTTTTTTGTATAACTGTATGAAATGTAGGTACCTACATAGTAATTTTATTATCGAAATATGCTTATAAGGGCAGCTTCCAAAAATTGTTATAACTGCGTCATTTCGAAACATGTATATTCTTTAGAATATTGAAACCGAATGAATAATATTTTCTCTTTATGGTTACCCTTAAATTTTCAAGGACAAACAAAAACACTTCATTAACATATGGTTTTGTTTACAGACAAATGTTTTTGTTTTGCATGGGGTATTTGTTTAAAAACATTGGCATGTGAATATTTTTTGTAGATCTAAACTATGCTTAATGGACTAGGCAGTTGTATGACCTCACCTGTTTTGACACTTCAGCGAGCTGAAGAAAGTGCCAAACTCCGTCGTATCCTGACACCTCTTACAGTTACACCAGAAAAACTTTGACTGATACAGGTGGTGTCTCCTATTGGAGGTTCCCCAGAGAGGATCCGTGTAGCAGATGCACAGGTTGTCCCCTTTTTTTATGTGCGTTCCAGCCGCTACCAAGACTCCTCCTTTATTCGTGAAGCTTTTGGTGCAGTTCGCACTGCAATTGTGCTCAAACATCGAGGTGGATTCGTAGATGGCTACGTGTGGAGGCTCTGTAAGAGGCACTTCATGGGAGTTGATCTTAAAAAAATCGATATAGTTCTTTTTAAAACATCAAATTAACAAAAATAATATTTCCAATAACATAAAGCAAAAAGATGTTTCAAGGCCAATTTCTGCATACCATTACGATTCCACAGACTCTCATGATTTCCTCCTCTGTAAAAACGTTGGCTAGTTTGAAAAACCTCAAGATGAACTGTGCTATAGTGACTTTTTCCTGTTCGTATTTTTGGGTCCCTTTCCTTTCCTCGCAATGGGACTGAAGTGTGTCTAGCTTTTTCCACACTTCTGGCAGGAATTGCTTTTGGTACAGGCACCTCAACACTGTTATGCATTGGTATATCGGATGGACCACACCGAAATTTTTCACAGAAACCTGCGGTAATAAACGAATGTCTTTAAACCAGAATAACATATCTTGTTTAACGTAATATAGTTAGACAAGAAAAAGTAGCAAGTGACCATCTTTCAATCAAGTCTCTACTATCTTTATTCAATGTTTAAATAAGGGTAACATTTATTTACATTTACAAGCAGTTTGTTCTTTGCGCAATAAGCATATAAGCAAGACAAGTGCTTTTGAAAATTGGTACAATCATATCTAAATTAGAAAATTCACATTAAATATTTAGACCAGGCATAAAGAAAATATTTAGAGTGTGGAAAGGAACGCTGATTATCGTGTATAAATAATGAAAACAAAGTTAGACCAAGGTGTGAACCTATGGTATATCTGTAACAGCTACAGAGGAAGGCAAACAATTATTAACAAAACGGCTGCTTTCAGCGACAAATTTTAAGAGTACCTTTTGTACATAGAATTGAATGGAAAATAGGTATGTTTAGTCAAAAATACACTGCGATACAAAATAGTTATGGTTATTTACATCCAGGTACAACACTCTATGTGGCGCCTTCTAACGTTAAATAAAAAACTAAGTAAATATTTGAGATTTTCATCATCAATAGTTCCAGTTTCCCGAATTTCGTCAAATGACATGTTATTGAACAAAAATATAATCAAAATACCAAAGAAATTTGTTTTTGGACGCTCTGTATTTGAAGAACCAAGCAGTTGCGGACCCATGTTCATATAAACTTTTTATCTTAAAATTAATCAAAGATTCATCCTTTAAAGTTTGTACAAGTATTTAATAAACACCCTCTATATTAAATATGACCATCTGTCGAAGTATCCCACTTATTGAATGTAAGACGGGGCAAGCTAATTTTTGCTGGAAGATCTGGGTGAAGTCCGGAACATTTTCAAAAATTGCAAAAATTTTTTAAAAATTTTAAAAAATACCTATTTTATCTGAGTTTTTTACTTATATCTTGGAACCTATGCATTTTGGAAGAATATTGAACAGGAAAAAAGTTTTAAAATTGAATTTTGCATAATATACTGCAAGTTAAAAATGTTTAAATTTATTACCGATGTTGCAAATAGCAATAATTGATGAAAAAAAGGAAAAATAATTAAGTTTTTGCATATTTTTTAAAATATTTTAATTGCTCCGAGGGCATTCTAATTTTAGTAACAAAAACTTTAGAGTATAATAAAACAACACACCAAATTTTATTAAAATCAGTTCGACAGTTTTCGCAAAATAATTTTTTGAAAAAAATTCTGAAAAATTTTTCACATAGAAAAGACGGCTCGACCTTTCAAATGGTTTTTGAAAAATTAAAATCGGTTGATTAGGACAGCCACACTAACATAAGTTAACACTTTTTTTTATTTTTAAACAATTAGATTACACTTATCAATTTGCAATTTATTTTTTTTCAAAAATTGTAATTTTGAAGTACTCGGAAAGACGCTCCTTTAAAAAAAAAGTTAAATTCCGTTTATTGGTTCTTGAGATATAAGCGGTTAAAGTTTATCGGCATTTACCGTTAATTTTAAACAATTTAGCAATAATCTTTGATCTAGTGGCTTCGTTTTTCCGAGTTCTAAGCTGAAAAAATATTTTCATATCCATAAGTTATCGGCAACATAGATAAATCATCGGAAAAGCTGTCGCTCGCAC